TTCTCAGAAGTATAACATACATGAGGCTTCTAGATCAGCATTTTCTAGTCATTGAATCTTCTAAAAAGGTCAAGTATTTCCCATCTCATTATCATCTATGGTCCTTATATAGACTATATTATGGTTCCTCTATACTTAAGATTTTTAAAAAATAATTTCTTGAGACAGGGGTCTTGCTATGGAGCCTGGATAGCCTCAAACTCCTGCTCAAGTGACCCACAGCAGCCTCTTGAGTACCTGGGTCTATAGATGCACACCATTCCCCCTGGCTTATACTTATGGTTTAAATTAGAGACACATGTAATGTGTAATTGAAATTACTGTGCTAATTTTTTCAGATGAACCAATCTCAGCTGTTCCACAGGAAAAACAAAATGTAATTGGCATCACAAACTAAACTCTAGGCCATTGATTTCCTAAAATAAAGAAATGAAGATTTCATTTCCAAGTCTGATTTCAGCATGTGTGTGTATGTGTGTGTGTGTATATACATATTCAGATACACACACACACACACAGAGAGCTGTGAATGAACTGTGGGCATGTCTAAGCCATCTCTAAGTGGAGGGGCACCCTTCAGAGAACTCTTGGTGTGATCTCACCAATCTGAGACTGCTTTGTTGCCTTAGAAAACGTCCTGCTCAAAAAGAATTCTGTGATATCACAGAATTTATTGGCTCAGACAGCCCTAGGTTCAAATGCAACTCCCCAGAAGTGGAGAGAGACACCAGTGCCCAACTATCCGGGTTGCGCCAGCTGCCTAGAGGAGAAAGAATGACTGCACAAGTGGTAAGTCCCCACTCAGGCCACTTGCCCACCATGGCTTGCTTCTTGTTTACCTTGAGGAACCTCATCACAGTAAATTCCTTGATATGTTTCACCTCAAATAAACCTTTATGGGGCTTTTCTCCTTTGTTAGGGTCAGACCCATCAGATCTTTTCCACCCATCAAAGCCTCACTTAAAAAAAAAAAGAAAAAAGAAAAACTTTTTTTTAAAAAATTTTGCTCTATTTTTTGATATTACCTTTCAACCTTTTATTTCTTGCCAGCCCACACCTCCAAGGGCTACCTATTCCCTCCCCACACAGGCCACTGGTGACACATACATATATATAAGTGACTACATTCTGGCCAAGAAATAAGCAAACTGTTACATTCAACATCAGAGAAATATTCTTGCATGGAAAGGGTATGCGCTCCTCCAGCTTCTCTTCCAACTGAGGCAGAGAGTTTGGGCTTTAGAGCATAATATGGGGAAAAAAATACCTGCACACTCACTGGCCTATATACCCACCTTAGATGATCACAACATGTTATCCAAAACCAAATCATTACCCTCTAGAGCAAATCATGACCTTCTATACCTGGAACATGAAAACAGGAGGACAAAACTCTGGACCAGGCCTCGGAGTGTCACATAACCCCTGGACAGGACTGCTAGCTGGATTTATTTTAGGTAAGAGAAATGCACTTACGTCTAGGCTAAGCCATTTTTATTTGTGTTTGCTGCCACATGTGACCAAACCTAAATGTAACTGAAACAATTACATTACATTTAGGAAACATATTTACATTATAGGGAAAGAAAGAAAGAAGAAATGAAGGAAGGAAGGGGAAAAGAAGGGAAGGGAAGGAAGAGAGAGAGAGAGAGAGAAACAAACTTGTCTTTCAGAAGAATCTCACCTTCCGGATGCAAAGAAGATCTGGGGCTCTTGTTCACAGACTTTCCTAGAGTTCTCTTATTTGTTCCCAAACTTGAAGTTCTACTCATAGATTAAACCTTCCTAAACCTGCATCTACAGCTCATCCATACCTACACAGTCACTGGCCTATATACCCACCTTGGATGATCACAGATACTATCCCAAACCAAAATCATTACCCTCTGTAATCTAATTCTGTTTCCTCTCTCCATAAATAATAGCTACCGTCATCTACCCTTCTTCATGACAGAAACCTGAGCAGCACCTTGACTTCTCCCTCCCCTTCATTAAACGCTAGATTGTGATTGTCCATCTCCCCATTAAAACTTTCTCCTAAGGAGGAATCAGATCTTATTCACCTGTGTTTATTCAGTGTCTATCACACCATGAGATAGATGCACAAATATTAATATCTTATGCATTTTCCAGCCCTTCCTATGCTCTTTAAAACCAGATGTGACTATTTTACAAAATATTATTTTAAACTCTTTTGCTTTTTTCATTAAACATTATAGTATAGGAAATTTCCCATGCTATTAAAACTCTCTATGAATCATTTCTAATGGCTGCATAATATTCCATGACTTAGCAGCTACGACTGTGCACTGACTGTGTGTCAGGAACTATGATGAGCATTTTATATGTATCCTTATTAGATCTCCATGTTTTAGATGAGGAAACAAAGGCACAGAGGAGCAGAGCTCTCTACTTGTGGTGACTATGACTAATGACCCACAACAGATCATGAGCCCATGGAAGGCAGGACTCATGCCACTTATGGGTAAGAGTAGGCCCTCAAATATTTTTGAAAGGATAAAAACAACAACTGACTGGAATGACAATTAACCAGAGATTTATCTTACCTTGAAAAACCTTAAAATCTATCCTTTTCATATCTCATTATATTGAGGAAAGGGCATTAAACACTGTCAGATGTCTTACAAACATTATCCTATTTGATTCTAAGAACTCAACCACAGGGTGAACTATTCCCTCTTGGCATGGAAATGAACTCATGCCTACAAGATACAAATATATTTTCTACTTCCTATTCAAGAGAAATCCTTGTATGAAATATATTTATTGTTTTCTTAAATGGATAATCAGCTTTCCCACTTCCTCATATTTATTGCAAAGCCAGAATGTACCTGAGTAGAGGTAAAATGTACAGATTCCTATATAAATGCTACATAATCATAATCATTGTTGTTTGCTCCTCTTGGTCCACTGATATAGGAGCAGAGCACACACTGGGGTGTAAATGAGTGCAGAAATTATTTCCATGAACATTACTAATGTAGTCCTAGGAAGCAGAAGCAGCCTGGTGTGTGTGTGTAGGAGTTAGTGGGTGGCACCATGACTAACAAGAACAGAAACTCAGATTACAATAGAGAACAGTTCAGCATTGATTAGGAACCTGGACTTTGGAGCCAGATCCCTCAGTTTCAAGTTTGGGCTCTGTCACTTACAGACTGCATGACTTTAAGCAATTTATCTAACCTCTGTATGTGTTCATTTATTCATCTGTGAAATGAGATAACAGCAACATCTATCTGTTTAAATTAATTTTTAAAGTGCTTAGAGCAGTGGCTCATAGAAACTGCTTTACAAGGGTTTCTTCCTATTACTATTACTCCATGAGGAATGTGAATAGACAATTCAGATAATGAAATACTACATGTGAAATACAGCTTAAACCATGTTACACAGCATATGGGAAAAATGTCTTACTTCATTAATAGAGAAACACAAAATAAACATTTTTAACTTCTCAAGTGGCAAGCAATAACTTTTAAAAACCTATAGTTATTTCTTACTACTCATTAAGTACAGGAAAATCATTGAGCTTGTAGAGTTACCAATAAGTACATCCCATTTCAAAGGCTCTAGAACTCTTTAGAAAGTTCATACTCTGACCTACAAACACCTACAAACCTGTCCCAAGAAAATAAGTATCAATGCAGCAAAACTTTTATGTGCAAGAAAAGTATTTCTAACCTGTTATTCTGTCACAGCAAAAAACAAATTGGCAGCAGAATGTTCAAATAGCTAAATAAATATATGGAATTTTATAGTTACTGGGAAAACTATTAAGGACTTGTAATAATATAAAAAATATTTATTAAGTAACAAAACAGAACACAGAATACACAAAAGAGACACAAGAATACTAATAGTGGTTGTCTCTAGGTGTGATTATATGTGATTTTACTGTAGTCTCCAAGTTTTATAAAAACAAATAATTTTACAGACAATACCAATAAGCAGAACAACCTCCCATGCTCCCCACTTCCTGTAGGATAAAGCCTCTATACTTTTTAACTCTTGGATCTCATCATTCTATCTACCAAGCCCTCTTGATGAGATTCATTCTAAATGAACAAGCCATGATATTTTCTAACTTGTTTCTGTTTTCAGCCATGAATTCCTCCTCCATTACCTTTGACCCCCTGATAAAACATCTATCCAACATCTTCCTGCAGCTGTTATTCTACAGCCTTTACAGATGCCAGATTGCACTAAATTACAAGAAAAGCAGATGCAAAGAAGCAGAATCATCATTAAGAATGAGGTTGTGATCAGGTGTGCATGCTTGCATGCCAGCTACTTGAGTCTGAGGCAGAAGAATCACAAGTTTGAGGCCATTCCAAGCAATTTAGCAATACACTACATGGAATGGCATGGCATGGAATGGCATGGGGATGTAGTTCAGCATGCAAGGCCCTGGGTTTAATCTCCAGCAACACAAAAGCAAAAAACAAAAGAAGGAGGTTGTGCTTTATTCAAATCTCTTCTCTCCTGCCAGTACTTGGCACATAGATGGCCAAAACACATCTGCTAGATGAGTAAACATCAGTACCAGAATGGTGAGGTGGGAGCTGGCCTAGAGCACCTCTATTTGTTGGCCTAGAGCACCTCTATTTGTTGAGTTATTTAAGGAAAGCAATCCCTGAGGAGGCAACTGGGAATGCAAACAGGCTGAGCTTGTAAGTTACTCAAATGCTGAGCTTCTGCCTCCTCACTTGTAAAACAGAAGTAAATCCAATAACAACTCAAGGTTGTTGTGAAGATTGACTGAGAATGTAAGGCACGGACATAAAAAAGATATAAAAGTACTAACAGTGGTCAAATATCAGTTCCCCTTCCTCTTGCTGAAGGCATTAAAGCTATATTTTCCATAAGCAGCCAGGAGTCAAGGACGATATACATCAGAACCCCCAGGATAGTGACATGTGGCATACAGAGATATACACTTTTGGCAAACTATCATACAAATCCTCTAAAACTTGCTCTCTGCACTATGTCAGGTGGCCTCCTGAAGGCGCTGCGCAGCAACTCCTATGTGGAGCTGAGCCAGTACGGGGACCAGCACTTCCGGGGTGACAATGAAGAACAAGAAAAATTACTGAAGAAAAGCTGTACATTGTATGTTGGAAATCTTTCTTTTTACACAATTGAAGAACAAATTTATGAACTCTTCAGCAAAAGTGGTGACATAAAGAAGATAATTTTGGGTCTGGATAAAGTAAAAAAAACAGCATGTGGATTCTGTTTTGTGGAATACTATTCAAGAGCAGATGCAGAAAATGCCATGTGGTATATAAATGGAACACGTCTGGATGACCGGATCATTCGCACAGACTGGGATGCAGGTTTTAAGGAGGGCAGACAGTATGGACGTGGGCGATCAGGTGGCCAGGTTCCAGATGAGTGTCAACAAGACTATGATGCTGGGAGAGGTGGCTATGGAAAGCTGGCACAAAAGCAGTGAATGGTGAGAGCCCATCAGTGCAAAATTCCCTCCACTGGCCTGTTGTTTGTTGAAGAACATTACCCACAGTCTGATCAATGTCTCTTCTGAGCTGGAAGCCTTTACATGGTTTCCACTGAAAATTATTAAAGGACAGAATACAAAAGAATGCCTTTAATTCTAGTCTTAGAATATTGGTCATGTGTCAAATTACCAGATGATTTTCTGTTACTAGGTCTAAAATTGTGTTCTCTGGGGATGTGGCTCAGATACAGTGCCTACTTCACATGTGCAAGACCCTGGTTTGATCCCCAGAAACACCCCCCCACCCCCACCCCCCCACACACAAAGTGTTCCTTAGCAACAGGTTTGATTTATAATGTTGATTATTCTATTGGTCAAAAATGCCACACTTTTTAAAGGAAGATGGAAAAATGTAAAAACTTGTTTTACCATGTTTGTGTCTTAAATAGGTTCATGATCTACATTGGGGCCTGGAATGATTATTTTTTAAAATTTAAGTTTACATGAGATAAAATTTAATAAATGAAATTTTGCTATGTGGTATAGCTTTGTCCTAAATTAGCAACAGGTGTTTGACAACTGAATGACTTTGTTTTCAATGTTGAATTCTAATCTCTAAAGGGTCAAGGGACCTTCCTAAATAGTTGGCATAGAAGTAAGTAAACCTGAGATGGTCTCAGGGACATGTCCCGCTTCCATTCCTTACATATTCAGAAACTAGGTACAGGGTTTGAAGAATTATACACATTTTTTCAAAAGATGTTTACCTAAAGCTAGCAACAACAAGAAGTAAGGATTTGTAATAGAGAACTTCACATATTCTAGTGGGTGTAGTGAGTGGGAGAAGACGCTATTAGTAGGAAATGTGAGTTAAGGGATTGCCTTGACTTGACAAAGTGTGCTGTAAGGGCCATCAGATTTATTCTTTCCATTTTAATTAGTCTTGGGAATAGAATGGGTTCTTTTTAGAAGAGCTTGATGATTGAGAGAATACTTTACAAAAACAGAGGTATGCTTCCTAAAGAAAGTGTCTATTTCAGCTACTTCTCATACTGAAGTCTGTTTTATTTTTCCCAAACTGTCCATACTGTGGCTCAAGCCAGGGGATTCGAGAGAATTTATTTTACATTTGTAAGGCAAGAGATGATTTCTGATATTATATGTGAGTATAATTTTCCCTGATATGAAAAAATGTGAATTATTTTTCAAAGTATCTTCCAGTAGTTTGTGAAAATTGGGGCTGAACATGAACAGCTTTCATGTTACAATAAATGTGGGTTTTCTCATTAAATTCCAAACTGTTTGTTTGAATTTTTTATAAAGAGGTATAACACTTGTTAAGTGCTTAGGAATAAACCATTTGCAAACATTTAATCAGGACATAGTATTCATTTTTAGAATGTTTTTACACTGTAGTTTAAACTAATATTTTGTATTCTTGCATAGTGAAAAAACTCAGATTCTACAGGCCTTAAAACCAAAGACTGTGATTCTTATTTGAATTGTCTTCTATAACAGATTTCAATAAAGCTGGACCAACTTAAAAAATAAAAATAAAAAAAAATCCTCTAAAACTTATGTGTTTTTTCCCACATTGATAGCTACAGAATGGCAATTGCTACCAGACAAAATTAAGATAACTACATTGATGATGCTGTATGTTTCTTAGATCAAAGCCACCAGGGAGACATCCAAAGCAAAGACATCCAAAGGTTTCCTGTATCAGCAAGCCGCCATGTGTGTGGCAGCTCATCCAGGGGATGGCTGTGACATAGCTGGCATGGTGGCAGATTGCACAACCTCCAATTGCAACAATTATCATGAAATCCAGGAACACTGATCACGGTACCAATACCATGAACATCAAACATAAAGCAGGCAGGTCATGTCATGAGACATTCAAAGGAAGTAGGGGGCGGGACCAGGAATTACCAATGGTTCATTAGGAAGCCAACCATCCTGAATATTAGTACTTTTCTATGTTTGGTTTCCTCATCATAAGAAGGTGAAATCACCACCTACCACATTGATGGCATTTTGAAGGTTAAATAGGAAAATGTGTAAGTTCCTGGTAAGAACAGCATTTATGACTATTAGTGCTTCCCACAAAGATAGGCATTGATGTCATGCCTTCCGGGTGCTGAGTTCCTGTCTCCAATACCAATATTTGTAAATGCAAGTTGACCTTGATGGTTGTTCTCAATTAATCACCTTAGTGTACATAGACTGGTCCAAAATACAGCCCAAAAGAAGAAGAAAATAACAGGATGGTGAGGGAATTTCCCTGGCATGACAACTTCCTTAACAGATGACACTACTGCAAATATAGGAACTCTGTGGACAATTACTCCATTACCCATCCAGTTAGGCAGCACACCTCACTGAGTGCCACAGATGCTCAAGTCTAAAAGAAGATAAAGGAAAAGTTGATGGGAACAAACAAACAAGTCTAATTCCATTAGAGCAGCAACCACACCTACACTACTGTATTTCCAGTGCTTAGTACACAGCCTAGCAACTAGCAGACACTCAATAAATATTCTGAATGAGTAAGTGCACCCATCTGATTCTATAGCAAATACCCTATAAATTGATCAGAAGGTTCTTCAATACCTGCTGATTCATGCATTGGAGAGATTAAGTAGCCAAGACTGATAAAATCATGCCTATAGAGGGTTCTGGAACCAAGCAGAAACAGATAAAGGAGGTGTATCTTCATGAAACCAGCCCTCAGAACTAATCAGCAAGTCCAGCTCAATAACTGGAAGGTCTTTGAGGATATGGACTATATCAGATATCTCTCCTGAGTGGCTAGGACCCAAAGCACATGTTGAATGGTGTTCCTCCGATTTGTTTTCACAAATAAACCTCACAGAATTAACAGTGTGTTGATTAATACACTTCCTACTTTTCTTAGAACAGATAATCTTTTGGTCTCAGTATCCCTTTATAGTCTTAGGCAATTATTGAGGACCTTTAAGTATGGATCATAGCCATTCATACTTTCTGTATTACAAATAAAAATTGAGACACTTAAAATATTTTTTATTAAAATTAGTCTAGGGGCTAGGGATGTGGCCCAAGCGGTAGCATGCTCATATGGCATGTGCAGGGCGCTGGGTTCAATCCTCAACACCACATAAAAATAAAAAATAAAGATATTGTATCCACATAAAACTAAAAAATAAATATTTTTTTAAAAAATTAGTCTACACTACTCTTTTTTAACATTTATTTTTTAGTTATATATGGACACAATATCTTTATTTTTATGTGGTGCTGAGGATTGAACCCAGTGCCTCACTCATGATAGGCAAGCACGCTGGGCGAGTACTCTACCTCTGAGCCACTACTCCAGCCCAACACTTAAAATATTTATTAATTGACAAAATTAATAAATCACATGTTAATATAAATAATATATTTTAATAAAAATAAGTAATTTTCTAAAACAAATGCAGTGAGAAAACTGGAATTGTTCTATATTTTTTACATTTTATTAGTATCTGGCTTTATAGAATATAGGCAGAGTCTATCACATGTTCTGCATTGACTTTGTTGTGATATGTGTTGTTTGGGTAGTAGTCTAGAGAAAATTCAGTCACATGGAAAGGAAATTGGAGAAAGAAGGAATATTTAATAGATTGTTTTTCAGGCAATTATATATATTTTCCTTTGATACCACCCCAAAATTCCACAAATAGTAGCTGATTAATGGTTAGTTGCAATGTGGGATCTGAAACCATATGGATGAGTTTTTTTGTACTCTGTCACATTAAAATTCCCTGGTGTATCCTTTACTTTGAATGGCATTTTTAAGATCATACATTGATCGCTTAGAAAATATTCATTTATTAAGTTATGCAGATATTTCAAATGTTGGCATAATTCAATATAAAATATTTAAAATTACATTCAAGCCAGGTGCAGTGGCGCACGCCTGTAATCCCAGTGGCTGGGGAGGCTGAGGCAGGAGGATCACAAGTTCAAAGTCAGCCTAAGCAAAAAGTGAGGCACTAAGCAACTCAGTGAGACACTGTCTCTAAATAAAATACAAAACAGGGCTGGGGATGTGGCTCAGTGGTTGAGTGCCCCTGAGTTCAATCCCCAGTACCAAAAAGAAAAAAAAATTACACTCAATATTATTGTCAATCTCATCAGAAAAGTATTAAGAAACAATTGACGTTGCAAGGCAGATAAAACTTTCAATATTCTAATATTGACTTAAAAGCTCAAGTTTGAGCATCGCAGCAAATGCTATCAGTTATTCTCCTTGAAGTGACAGACTCACTTTGATCCTTTTGGGGGGAATGTCTGACAAATACCCATATCTGAATAATCCTAGTCTGACTGCCAGCCTCATTCTTTTAAGCATACATATGATGCTCTACCAAAAAAGCAGGTAGTTGTTTTGCAACTCAAACTACCAAGCACACAGTGCTTTACCATGAGAAGCCACAGTGCTGCGAGCCGTCAACACTTCATGCATACTTTCCTCATCACACAACAGTAAAATGACATATACTTATTATGTAGAAATTTAATAAGGTAATAATTTGCAGTACTTCCTGGAAACATTTTTTAAAAATATATTTATTTTTTAGTTCTAGGTGGACACAATATCTTTATTTTACTTTATGTGGTGCTGAGGATTGAACTCAGTGCCTCACGCATGCTAAGTGTGCACTCTACCTCTGAGCCACAACCCCAGACCTCCTGGAAACATTTTCTTCTACTGTGTCTGGTAGTAAAGAACACATTGATCACTAGTGCAGGTTGGTGCTCTGACCCCTGCTTTGATTAATGCTCAGTCATTAGCAGTTTTATGCACCAATGTTTTTGCAAGTTCAGTGCCAATGGCAAAGCAGTAAAACTGGAAAAGAATGTCTTATTGCTATGAAAACAGTTTTGACCCTGAGGACCCTTAAAATGTCATAGGCACTCCACAGGTCTGCAGACCACACTGAGAATGGCTGCCTTACTCTACTCGCATTCAT